GGGGGGGGGGGGGGGGGGGGGAGGAGCAGCTGGGGGCCAGTTACAGCATGAAGCCCCTCCACATGGTCACGCTGGAGCTCAGCCAGCGCCAGCAAGAGAGGGGCCACTCCCAGCCCCCTCCCAGGGCAACCAGCCCCCCACAGGCCCAGCCACAAGCCCTGAGGACACGGCACATGGCACGCGGGAAGGCAACCCAGGGAGCTCGGGGCACAGGCGCCTTTCCCGGGGCTGTCCCCACTGAGCCTCAGCCCCACCCCCAGGCAATGCCCATCCCACGGGTGATCTGGAGCAGCTCTCCAGATCACCTTTTGGAACGAGGGGCTGATGCCTGGGCTGGGACACGTGAGCTGATGCAGGGAAAAGCTGTTTGGGATTGCACAGGACTTGCTATGGGATGTTTAGTGGAGGATGCTGCGGTGATTTTGGGAGGAACAAGTGTGGAAAAACAAGTGAGGTACAGGGATGAAAGGGCCAGTTGGGTGTAAATGACCAGCTGGTCAGTACTTGTCCAGCACAGTCTGGCTGATCTTACCAAATTCCTGTGAGGGCTCCCTTCTAAGCGCACGCATGTGTGCGTGCAGGGTGTGGGTGCACTGCAGGGAGCAGCCCCTGGGTCCCCGCACCCTGGGGCAGGCCAGTGTAGGTCTATGATCACCAAAGAAGCAGCTGAACCAGCCCATGAGCACATGAGGGGGCCTGGGGTGAAGCAGGTGGGGAAGGTCCAGCCCAGAGCGTGACAGCACCCACATGTCCATAGGGGCAGAGCACACAGGGCTGGCAATGGGACCTGGAAACCCCAACCAGCTCCACGATCCCAAGTTGCTGCTGGCAGGAGAGAAGACATGCCTGAAAGCACCGTTTCTAAAAAGCCCCAGAGGCAGGAGCAGGGGGAGGAGGCCGGGCTGGTGCACTGTAAGCCCAAAGCACAGGGTGGCACTGGCCCTCCATGAGCTTGCTGCCGCGCTGTGGCTCTGCCAGCCCTGTGCACAAAGAGGGAACCAGGGCCCGTCCCCGCTGACAGAACAAATGACCACACAGCGTGGAGCTGGGGGTGCCTGGGACTGCCGGCCCTGCCCTGCCAGCCTCCTTCTTCCCCACTATAGTTTCACCAGCCCCACTGCAACAGAAGAATGAAGTGAGGCCTCCCTGCTACCCAGCACAAATAGCACACAGGCTCTTCCCAGAGGGCAAGGGCTATGGCTGCTGTAAAGAAAAGAGGATTGATTCCCTGAGGGGCCCTCTCCCCAAATATCCCCTCCCCCCTTTCTGTCTCAAATCCCCGCAGGGAGAGCAGCCACTGTGAGAGGCCGAGGCAGCAGGCAATGAGCTTCACAGCAGAGTTTTATTAAAACTCCCCCAGAAGGGAGCTTGTGCAGGGAGGCGGCGGTGAACAGCACCAGTACAGCTGCCCAAACCCACCCAGAGGGGGTCACAGGAGAGCCGGGGGGAACCACACAGCTACTGCGCCCTCCGGGCCATCAGCATTTCCCTTATGTTATCTTCTGCTTCCTTCACGCTCCGCTCCAGATACGACTTCTTCTGCTGCAAGGCAAAAAAAACGGAGTTAAGGTTCACCTCAGCACTAAGAGCACTGCCAGGGTGCTGGAGCCAAGGGCTGCCCAGGGCAGAGCTGCAGCAGCCTGTTGAGGGCACCGAGGACCTGGCAGGTTTCCCAAAGTACAGACAGAGGTTATTCATTTCCAGAGGCATCTGGAAATGCTAAAGTTTAGCCTGGGCAATGTTTATATGGACTTGAATTTTGTTCCCTCTGAAACTTCCTCAGAGCTGTCACCAAAGTTGCAACAGCAGAGCTGCAGAAAGAGGTATACATTAACTGTAGCGATGAAGGAAAAGGAAATCAGATCCTGCAACACTTGGAGCCTAGAGAGGAACTAACATGCTGAGGCCTCCTTATGGAGACAACAGCAAAATCCTTCTGCACTTGGGTAAAAAAAGGGCTCCTTTTCCCAGCTGGGCCAGTTTTCTAAACCCAGATCAGAAATTCCCTGGCATCATCACCAAATACATGTGTTTCCTTAATCATCTTTATGCTAGGCTTGGCAGGGAAGCAGCATGAAGCTCTGCATCCCAAGATAGGAATTCAGCATGTAGCGTTTTTTCCTGCTAGTCTGGGTGCTCCTAGGTGACTGGAAAACTCAGCGCTTGGCTCTTTTGACTATTTTCTTTGGGTTTCCAAACAACAGCCACAACAGTCTCCAGCGGACACCAGGCCAGCAGAAGGTGGTGCTGTGTGAGCACAGGCAGCCCCTGCTCCTTCAGCGGCAGCAGGGAGAACACCGCTCCGAACACTGTGCTATGGGCTGGGGGGATGCTTGGGGGTCTCCCCAGAGCTGGGTTTGCAGAGGACCATGGGGAGAGGCCTCAGGGGCACACCTGGGGCTCTACAAGGTACACGTTCTCACAAGAAGAACCTCATGGCAGGCCCGCTGCACACTGCCGCAGCATGGTGCTCCACAGCAGTCACAGTCACCCGCAGAGCACCTTCCTGTGGGCCTGGGGAGCTCCAGAGCCTGCTTTCTGGGCCAAGCTGGGTACTAATAAGCACTGGCTGGATTATTATTAAATAATAGAAGTTTGGGCCTCAGCCTAGAGCATCCTGCTCTAGGCTCCACTGATCACCTCCCAGCCACAGGCAGAGGAGCCCAGCATGGCCTGAATGACCCCCAAAGCCCACCAAAACCAAAGGACAACTAAAGGGGCACAGTGAGGTCCCCAGCACTGCTCAGCCATGAAGGGGGGCTGGAGGAATGAGTAAAAACACATGCTGCTCTCGGGTGCTCCCCAGCTGCCTGCTGACTTGAGCAGAGCAGCACCCATGGGTGCAGGCTACAGCAGAAGCAAGCTCCTGCTATGGGGGGCGAGCTGGGGG